ATATATGCAGCAAAACAGCTGACCAATTCAACCGTTTCTACAGGCACAATTCAGTGACACTGAGTACATTCTTCAAGCTGTCAACCATTCTCACCCTCCTTTTCTGAGTTGTGCTTCCCACAATGACATAAATTCACTGCCCCCTAAGGTTCCTATCTAATCTTTTGAGTCACTGTCACTTTGATCTCATATAGATAGTTCTTAAAAAAGCATACTGCTCAAGGCAGACATTTTTTACTAGTTAAGCTAAACTACTGTTTGGTTTTAAGAAGACTTCAGGGGATATTTTAGTTTAAGTTTTAAAGATTATCTCAGGGCAATAGTTTCGGGGGGGGCAGGGTGTTCAGTTTCTTGACCCAAATGGTAGACACATGGATTTTGGCTTTATAAACCATTTTTAAAATTGTACTATATAAGTTTTATGTGTATTTCTGTATATATTATATTTCACATTATATGATGCTTATAAAAACCACACTTAATGAATTTATAAAATAAAACTAAGACAGGTACTATGAAGGAAAGGAATATGATTCCATAAGAGTAAAAAAAAATATGGTACAACTGCAGAAATAAAAATAAGATCAATTCTCTACTTGATAAAAGTTGTTCCCCACAGAGGTACGAGTTAACGATTCTGAATCTATCACGTGTATACTGGAACTGAACGATTAAGTATGGATGGTGGGTAGTGGAAACCACGTTTCTCGCTGCTGGAGTGGGAATTTATAGATAAGCAAGGGAAAGAGACTAGAATGATCCATGTGGCGCAGCATGAGAATTGGAGACATAAGAATTCAAGTTTAGCTTAATATAGTTACAGATGGCTGCATACAGAAATACTTCCAGCTATGTGTGTCTACACAGGTTAGTATATACACCTGTATTTCTTTGCTCTGTCAGCTGAAAAGGCCTAAGAGAAATAACACCCCAGTAGCAATGAGCAAAAGTAGCACCCACAGCTTGGTTTCTGATACCATTTTAATACCATGGAACTAAGACTCCTTGGAGAAGTGGCTGATTCTGGGGTTGGGACAGGACATATGCCAGATGAACCTTACAGGACAACTAATTCTGACTTTTTGTCTCTGGTTTTTGAAAACAGCCTGAGCAGTTAACGTGCTCTTTTCTGTCTTTCTAAAATAGCCAGGCAAATATGGGCTCTACAGGCCCCACACCTGGAGGACTAGCTTCAAGAAGGGAGGGGGGCATGATGCAGTCAATCATGCATATTCACTGAGGTCCCAGTAACTATGGGATACTGGCCCTTGGAGCTCTCAGGGGCATCCTGGGGACAATGGAAGCCCCATGGTGGGACCTCTCCCAGAGCCTGCCTGATGTGTCTTGTCACTTGTACCCTTTCTGGTTATAATTAACAGGTAACAGAAAGTATAGGGAATAGTTTCTGTGAGTTAAGAAGTAAGGAAGTGCTAAAAACAAGCAAACAAGCCCACATTGACAGGGGCATGTCAAAAGCACACAGTAGTAAACAAAGAGCTCCCAGTGGCCAAAGCTGTCCCACCAGGGGCAGTGAGAGCCAGCAGGGGCTGGAAGGACAGAGTCCTAACTTGTGGAGACCTGACTCTGGGTGGTTAGGGTCAGAGAGGGAGGGTGCCCTGTGGGCGGCTGGTGTCGGAATAGATTAAGTACTTCACTCCACACAAATTTCAGTTGAGTTAGAATTCTAAATTTATAAAAACAAGCCTTTATAATTATTAGAAAAAAATCTTAGAGAACATCATCACCGTTTTAGAGTAAGAAAGGCATCCTTATGCAGAAGACAAAAAGTATTAACCAAACAGAAAAGATTGATTCGACTACATAGTTTCCAACTTCTATAAAAAAATACTATTTAAGAGAAAAAAAAGGACAAATTAATGACCAGAAGAAATGGCATTCAACCTATTATGGCCCAAAGAATTAATATGCAAACTAAAAATAAACCCTGCAAATACATGAGAACATAATAAACCATGGAAAAGGGGGCAAGATATGAAAATAGACAAACTCGTGAGCTAATGAACAGTCGTTAAATAAGGGCAATACGCTCAGTGGGAGGAGCAAGGTGCATTTAACACCTAAGAGACCTGTTTTTTCCATCAGACAGGTAAAAATGATAAACACTGGCAATACTGGCAAGAATGAGCGGGCACAGATCCATAATGCAACGCCCGTAGGTCATTATGGTTTAACCACGCTGGAGAGCTGTTGGTCAACATCCATTAAACGTATATATGTTTCCTCCGGAATATTAACAAAAGGAGCAAAACCAGGGTTTTCATGAACAGTAGTCTGGTTCACCAAATTAAGATACCATGAAAAACTATGCATCTGTTTAAAAGAATGTATATGTAGACTGATATATAGGTAAACACACATGAACACACACACACATATTTACATATATGTACTATGGAAATACCTACCCAAGGTACAATGACTGGTTTAGAAAGAAAGCTATAGAACAATTCGTAAGGTAAGATAAAATCTGTGTTTAAAAAGAAAAGAAAAACATGACATAAAACTAGATGTTTCTGTACATATATGTGTAGGAGTCTAATACACACAAAACTCTTGGAAGATACTACCCCAGCTGACAGCAAGTGGATACTTCAGCGAAAGGAAGTAAGATTGGGTGAAAGGAGAAGGGGGAGTATCAACAGTTTCTTTTATATCCCTGCATCGCTGACAAAGAAAATGTTTTTATTTATTACTCTGTAATTAATTTTTTTTTCCTAGTGAAGTAAGTAGGAAAAAAAACCAGAGAAGTGGTAAAGTTTCATCTTGGAAGTACTTTCCCACATAAGTACTGTGTACATTGGGGCCACTGTCAGCCAGGTGCCTCTCCCACTGCTGCAGAGAATCGCCTTTGGTATACTCCCTCGCTCTGTCCCATGGAGACCTGAGAACTGCAGAAACTCAACAACACTGCTGAGCAGCAAGGTTTATGGTACAGATGATCCTGGCTGGTAAACTGCACCTGGACTAGGAGAGCTATAAAATCCAAAAACCAAACCTACTGCCATAAAGTTGATTCTGACTGACGGCACCCCTACATGTTACAGAGTACAGCTCCTTCACAGAGCTTTCTTGGCTGAAATCTTTACAGAAGCAGATCACCAGGCCTTTCCTCTGTGGTGCACTTCCGTGGGTTTAAATCACTAACCTTTAGGTTAAGCGGTCAACTGCAAACCATTTGTGCCACTCAATCCAAAAAACCCCCTGCCACTGAGTCGACTGGACCCAGAGGGTCGCTGTACGTCACGTCACCGGGGACCTAGGAATACCTGTGGACACATCGCATTTGGGGGCTTCCCTGATGCGGTGACTCTTGTTAACAGGCATGTCTTCTGTGTCTGACTCTAACCATGCTGAAACATACAGGCCAAAAAAATCTCAAATTAAGGCGTGAATCAGACAGGCACGTTAGGTTTACAGCCAAGTGAGCCCCTATGTATGGAAAAGCCCGTTTTCAATTCTATACAGCCTGTGCTATTTTTCATGACAGACACCTGAGCTGCCATATAATCTCTAAGTGCTCCCTTTTAATCACTCCCCGAGTTATATGTAAACAACAATATTTTGTATTCAATTAAACGAAGGCATTTCTGGTGAACAGCAAGGTCTAAAACTTATTCATTACACAACTGGAGTAAATTTATGATTAAATAAATTCTATCTATAACTTCCCAAACCACTATGGAAAATTTAATCATTCGTTTTATATAGCAGAACAATGTGGGACGATATAAAAACTAAAAACAAGGAAAAAAATGTCAAAAACAGCTGGCTTCCAAGTTAATATCTTACACAAAAAATAAATAGATAAATAATGATACAGTCTAACAATCAAAACCTTTTCCTGACAAAAACTAACTTGCAGTGTAATCACAGTGGAAAAAAAATCAGTCCCGATAGATAAAGACGAGAAAAATTGCCAAAATGGAAGTATGGATATGCTTGAAATAGCAAAGAATTGTCTTTGCAAACAGCGCAAGTGAAAATGTCGATGTAACATACCACAACACAAAATCAACTCTGTGATTCCACTTTTTAAAAATCACAGGGCGAGGAATTACGGAGCCTGAGGAATCATCGAGCCTGAGAAGGTCACCACAGCAGGTTAGAGAAGAGCAGGAACTGGCTCAAATTCTGCAGTCAGTACAACACCGGGAGCGTTCCCCTAAGTCACACGCTATGCCACCACCTCTTCTGAGGGTAAGAATGTACGACAGCCCCCCGTCCCCGCTCAGATTCTGCTTTGACAGCTCCAGGGGGAGTCCAGGAATCTACATTTTTAAAAGGGTGCCAGCTGATTCTGGGAAACCCCAGAACAGGGCCCTGAGGGGCATCGACGGCCCCCACCCCTGGAATCAGATCAGAAGGTGGAGACTTTGCATGTCACATACTTGGGGGGCATTTTTTCCCTCTTTCTTAGAAATCTGTGTTCTACGTATCAGTAAGTCTTACAACTGATAATAAGGTGAACTACGCTTACTTGTTTTAATTGAATCCCTTAATGACATAGCAACTTCAGGACAGACTTCACCTCTGGTGAGAGGGAGAGAGAGGATGGAAGAATGGGGAAAGGGCGGTGTTTTATTTCGGGGAAAAAGGGACTTGAGCAAACATGGCAAAATGTTCACATGTTATTAAATCCGAGCGAAGGGTAATATGGGTACTATGGTATTTTCCATCCTTTTCTGTATGTTCAAAATATTAAACAGTTTTTAAATTTAAATGCATGGCATTATTCCAAAAGGCAAGACAGTAGGAGAGCACTATCCCAAGGCATCACTACTTGGGGAGAGAAATCCGCGTCCTTCAACAATTTTTATCTAGGAAGGACATAATCTAAGTTGATTTTATGCCCCTCAGAGTGGTTACAGAAAAACCAGCATGACCTGTTTTTGCTTACTTACAGCAATGCTCCACTTCACAGTGAACAAGAAGATGTAAATGAGGACGGAAGAAAAGGTGCCCCACCTGGGTTCACCCACCTGTATCACTCCCGGATCCTGTGGATAAAGCTGGCATGGTTCAGGCTGCAGTTGTCCACCACACTCCAAATGCTCTCCAGCCAGGACTCGGCAGTGAAATTCACTTCAACCGCTTGCAGCCACGTTGTCTACCAAGTTTTCAATATCCTATAAGCCTTTTCTAGAAAGAAAAGGAACACATTTTTTTAAACTTAAGGAATATCACTAAATTACAACATTCTATAACTAATTCAAAACTGTTATTTCAACACACTACCAAAGAGATCACACCACTTCAGAAATTTATCTACAGACTACATACAAATACTAAGTGTGAGAGTTTCTGATTTCTAATGAAAAATATGTAAGTTCTTTATGCAATGTCAAGGCTTTCTTACAGATTTTTACATATTGGGTTGGGGACCATTTACTGAGTAGACGGAGGACTTTTAAGACATTCTTATAAACCAAAGCCATTCTAAAATTCCTTCCCTTCTGTTATCATAATTTTAAACTTTATTTCTAAATGTAGAACGAAGACTTCATAAATTGTCAGGAATTTGTGACTAACTGGAATATTTTAAATCACTTATCCTAATACAACAACTACAACGGTTCTCTAACTAAAGACTGCACATTACCTTGAAAAAATATTTACCACAAGTATGAAGCAAGATATTACATATCTACAGAACTGTCAGCAATCTAAACTAAATCAACAATCCAAGCTAATATACAAAAGTAAATTCTTTTAGTAAAAAAATAGGCTTTGATGTATTCTAGGTAAATATAAACTTTTTTTTTTTTTTTCAGTAACTGTCTTAATTAATGCTTATTCCAAAATAAGGAATAAAGACAGTGTAGTAAAGTAGCTAAGAGCTCTTGCTCTGGCGTTCAGCCTGACCACTAGTCCTGCTAGCTCTGTGATCCTGGACAATTACTTAACCTTAGTAAGCCTTAGTTTCCTTATATGCAAACAGAGAACAGTAATTTAAAACTGATAACTAGATGCGCTAAAGCATACAACAGAGCATCTGGTGCATGGTAAGAAACAATAAATGCTGGCTATTATGACAGATTTTTTCTTAATTCAGGTCATGAGATTATACAATAAAAACATAAAAGAAAGTGGCAAAATTAAAATTTACATTGGCCTGACACGAGGGAGGCCATGTGGTTTAAATTTGGATCACTGCTGCCTAATAACGGAAAATACACTCCATTTACATTTTTTTGAGAAATCAGAAGAACCACACAATGTATTTAAGTTCATTTTCTAACGCATTTTCCCCAATTATCTCTGAAGCAAATTCAGTAATTTAAAAGCATGTTTTAACACATTAACAAACAAACAAAAAAATAGATACTGTAAGCACTTGAAAAACTGGCTCACTTCAACCCTTCAGGTCTTGAAGTTGCTGATTTATATTACAGAATAAAGAAAAATGGGCTTTCCAAATTTGAGCTGAAAACGTTCAAACTGTAAAATCCTACAATAAGCCTTCTAAATTACTTTTTTAATTATCAAAGTGAAAGTTGGTATAAAAAAATTCACCTTGACTAAACTGTTTCAGAATACAACAATATGAATTTTGTTTTTTTATCCTACAAAGCCTGACATCATTAATGGATGCTACAAATCCATACAGAGAGAAGTTAATAGTTACAAAGATAAGGATAGTTATTTAAACACCAAATAAAAACAGAAATAACTAAACTAAAAATAAAAAATGAGGGACGAAACTAACAAAGCAACGTTTCATTAATATCTACCTCTAAAGTTGTTTTCCCAATAATTTTAAAAGGCAACTTTGCTTTACTGTCATAGACTATTCTAACTAATCAAGAATGACATTCAATTGCATAAGTGTTCCTTATATAAAACAAAGCTAGAAATGAAACAATACAAACACAAAGAAAGTAAAAAATAGACCATACATAATTTAAAGAAGAACGCATTCAATTAGCAGACTTTTCTTTTGCTGCTGAGGGAAAAAAGAAAAATGATTAAATTTTGTCAACTGTATGTACACACACGCGTGCAAGCAGACTTCTATCATTAGGGCTCTATGTATGTATGTACTGGGTATGTATTTATTGTGTGTGTACATGTATGTATGTAATTTAAGCTCTTTTTGTCATGAAGAACATCATAATCTGTGTAGTACAGATTACCTAACTACAGCAATACATATACTCTACAACCTATACCACACAAACTGCCACCTTCTTCATGGCTTAAAGAACTTAAAATATTTAACTTTTATAAACCACACATACCATATAGTAAAGCAACTTATGCTTATATCAAACAAAATTAAACTCTGATACAACTGGGTACATTCAGATTCCATTAATACTGGAGAAGACCTTACATTCTACATCAAAGCATCCTTTTGATCCCATATTGCTGCTGTACATCTATGCCATATATGAAAGGCCTTAGTAGTTCTCATTTTTTATTCATAACGAACATTCAATGTCAGATTTTTTTCAAAGCCATATTATTTAAGAAGCCTATACTACAAAGTCATTATCTTCTCAAAACCATTCCAACTGTATTAATAAAAAAATTAATGGTTCGAAAAAATCCTTACCAGTAAAATGCTTAATATTTTGTGGAACGAAGCAGAGTTGCTGGGTTTAACTTTTAAATTGAGTTCAATTTTTGCAGTAATGATGTTATTTTCTTTGGCTAAATTTACTGAAAAATGCTTTGGAATTTGTCAGAATCCAGCCGTAATTACTACTGACTGTTGTATGGAATCGATTTAGTACAACACAAAATGCCAGCTGTTACAGTATGTCCTGAGAGGGATTACCGAATATTCTTAAACTGAAGTTCACGCCATCTTTCCATAAAAAGGAGAGAGACCCAAACGCCAGGAACATAACAGCATCGAGTGCACCTGAAGCATTTACAATACGCAACAGAACTATTACAACCCTCCTTTAAAAAGGCTTATTTTTGAAATTTCATTATTCCAGTTGTACCTTGCTTCTATATATCACACTGTATCAGGTTCTTCTGGCATCGATCATGTGGAAACAGTGAGATATGTGCAGGTCTATGAGCTTACAATGCTGTTTCTACCCACCCTGAGTAACTCCTAAAGCTCCTGTGGCTCTCATGACATCTAGTGGCCAACCGCAGAAGTGCAAGTGCTTGTAAACCGAAAAAGTTAACTGTGGAGTCAATTCCGACTCTTAGCACTTGCAGCAGGAAGTTACTCTGAGTTTGCAGAAAAGCGAAAACTGACGTAATTCCATCCAGTGAAATAGCCAGCTGCAAAATATTTTATTAACATGCAAACAAACACACCAAAAAATTTACATGAAGATAAACAAAAAATCCAGTATTGGACATAATTTCCAATTATTTTCTTTTCTAGTTGGGGGAGGGCTCAAGAACATGAAAACCTTTAACTGTCATCATAAACAAACTATTTACTAGTTGTATTACTAGCCTATTACTTCAGGAGACAATAACTGCATCCAGTAAGACAACTGAAGAGTATTTTGCCTGTTACAAATACTCTAAAGCTACATTTTCAAAATTAATATAGCAGTAAAATAACACAAAGAATATATATTTTCATTTACAAATCTAATTTCACAGATAAAAAAAAAAAGCTCCATCCTAAAGATTCATTCATTATATTAGCCAATTCAAGCAACACACTGGTATCTGTTAACATTATAAAAACTTCCATAAACTATAAATGTAAGAAAATGAAGGACGGAACATACAGCTAAGTGGTGTGAATGTGCGTGTATAAAATAGTATTTACACCTTTTATACCAGCCATTCTCAAAGTGAGGTCCGCCGACCCCTGCTGGTCACCCAGGTCCCTTCAGAGGGGTCCCCGAGACTAGAACTATTTGCATAAAAATACAAAGACGTCATTTGCCTCTTCACTGTGTTGACATCTGCACTCGAGGTGTAGAAGGCACGGTGGGAAAGCCACTGGCACCTTAGCACAAATCGCGACGGTGACACCAAACTGTATTCTTCACGGTCAAGCACGCCCATTAAAACAAGGACAGAAAGGTTCACTTAAGAATGTCCTTAATGAAGTCATAAAAATTAATAATCAGTCAACTCTTGAGTGCCTGTGGTTTACCACCCTGCGTGATGAAATGAGAAGTAGGTTCTCCTCCTGCGAAGGGAAGTCATGGCTGTCTCCAGGAAAAGCTCTTGGGCATTTGTCGGCGCTGTGAACTGAACTCGTTGCTTTCTTCGTGGACGTTTTTACTTGAAAGAACAACTAGAAGACAAACCACGGGCATCCAGGCCTGGGGATTTGGCAGACATTTTCTTGAAAATAAATGAGATGGGTCTGTGACTTGAGAAAACAAGTGACAGTATGTGTTGCTAAAGGATGAAACACCAAGCTTTCGGGTAAAAACTGTAATCTGTAGAACTTGCAAGCACTGCAGGCTGTCCCCCCTTTGCATCGTGTCAGCTAAGACCCACGCATACCGAAGTCTGGGCTCCTTTTGCCTGGTGCTGTCAGCTTCTCAACACTCAAAGGTTTTTTTTGAGGAGATCGGGGTGATACTAACAAATGTGATTTTTTTTTCATTAAGTGAGTCAACATTTAGAAGATTTGCATAATTCAGTGAACCAACATTTTCCAAATTAACAATGCATGATATCAGAAAACCATACAAGAACAAAAGACTCATTCAACATGCAATATAGACTAATGGATTTTAAAGTACCAATATGATACGTTCATTGATGTTTTCAGATTCCACACTGGAATTCACCTTTAAGAAACTAACACTTGTCAAGTTCTGGTGTAGTATCAAATAAGAATATTCACAATTAAATGGAAAAGCTATTAAAACACTCCTCCCTCTTTCAACTACATATCTGTGTGAGGTCAGATTTTCTAAACATCCTTCAATCAAAAAAAAACTATGTAGTAGCAAAATGAAAGCAGACACAGATAAGAGAACATAACCACAGGTAGTCCCCCCACTTACAACATATTCGAATTACAATGAACCACACTTACGACTGTCCTTTTTTTGTGCATCTTATCATTAGTAATATGTACTACATACAATGCTGCACCATGTAATTTGCTGATGGTATTATTCTCATGCCAACCCCCAGAGACAAATAAAGATAGGATTTATAAAGATACTGAGAATAAAAGGCAATAATAATGAAAAGTAAAAAAAAGAAAAAAACAAAGTATTTGGCTTACATCAAAACCAATTTATGATGGAGTCCTTGGAACAGAATTCCATCATAAACTGGGGACTACCAGTATCTTCTATTAAGCCAAAATTAAAGAGATTCGTTGTTGTTGTTAGATGCCGTCGATTCAGTTTCAACTCAGAGACCCAAGGTACAACAGAACGAAACACTGCCCGGTCCTGTATCACCCTCACAATCGTTGTTGTTTGAGCCCATTGTTGGAGCCACTGTGTCAATCCACCTCGTTCAGGGTCTTTCTCGTTTTTGCTGACCCTCTACTTTACTAAGCATGATGTCTTTCTCTAGGGACCAGTCCCTCCTGATAACATGTCCAAAGTATGTAAGACAAAGTCTCGTCATCCTTGCTTCCAAGGGGCACTATGGCTGTATTTCTTCCAAGACAGACTAGTTCGTTCTTCTGGCAGTCCATGGTGTATTCAATGTTCTTCGTCAAAAACATAATTCAAAGGCATCAATTCTTCTTCCATCTTCCTTATTCACTGTACACCATTCAAATGCACACAAGGTGAATGAAAACATCATGGCTTGGGTCAGGCGCAGCTTAGTCCTCCAAGTAACATCTTTGCTTCTTAACACTTTAAAGAGGTCTTTTGCAGCAGATTTGTCCAATGAAATACATCATTTGATTTCCTGACTGCTACTACTTCCATGGGCACTGATTATGGATCCAAGTAAAATGAAATTCTTGACAACGTCAATCTTTTATTTATAATGATGTTGCTTATTGGTCCAGTTGTGAGGATTTCTGTTTTCTTTATGTTGAGGTGTAATCCATACTGAAGGCTACAGTCTTTGATCTTCATCAGCAAGTGCTTCAAGTCCTCTTCTGTTTCAGCAAGTAAGGTTGTATCATCTGCATATCTCAGGTTGTTAATGAGTCTTCCAACAATCTTGATGCCACATTCTTTTTGTGTATGTGTGCTTTAGGTGAAAGTTTATACCTCAAGTTAATTTCTCATACAAAAATTTATACACATATTGTTATGTGACACTAGTTGCAATTCCTATAATGTGACAGCACACTCCCCCTCTTCGTATAGCCCAGTTTCTTGGATTATTTGCTCAGCATACAGGCTGAATAAGTATGGTAAAAGGATGCAACTCTGACGCATACCTTTCTTGCTTTTAAACCACACAGTATCCCCTTGCTCTGTTTGAAGACTGCCTCTTGGTCTTTGTACAGGTTCCACATGAGCACAATTAAGTGTTCTGGAATCCCCGTTCTCCATTCTCTGCAATGTTATCCATAATTTTGTATGATCCACACAGTCGAACACCTTTGCATAGTCAATAAAACATAGGTTAAACATCTTTCTGGTATTCTCTGCTTTCAGCCAGGATCCATCTGACATCAGCAATGATATCCCTGCTTCCATGTCCTCTTCTGAATCTGGCTTGAATTTCTGGCAGTTCCCTGTTGATGTACTGCTGCAACCGCTTGTGAATGATGTTCAGCGAATTTTACTTGCGTGTGATATTAATGATATTGTTCAAAAATTTCCATTCTGTTGGATCACCTTTCTCTGGAACAGGCACAAATATGGATCTCTTCCAGTTGGCTGGCCAGGTAGCTGTCTTCCAAATTTCCTGGCATAGGCAAGTGAGCACTTCCAATGCTGCATCTATTTGTTCAAACATCTCAATTGGTATTCCAGCCATTTATGAAGCCTTGTTTTTTACCAATGTCTTCAGTGCAACTTGGACTTCTTCCTTCAATACAATCAATTCTTTATCATATGCTACCTCCTGAGACGACTGAACGTCGACCAATTCTTTTTGGTACAGTGACTCTGTATATTGCTTCCATCTGCTTTTGATGTTTCCTATGTCATTCAATATTTGAACCCTTTAAAATTCCACCTCAAGCCTTGATTTTTTTCTTCAGTTATTCCAGCGTGAGACATGCCAAGCATGTTCTTTCCTTTTGGTTTTCTAACTCCAGGTCTTTGCACATTTCATTATAATACTCTGTCTTCTCCAGATGCCCTTTGAAACCTTCTGTTCAATTCTTTTACCTGATCATTTCTTCTGTTCACTTTAGCTACTCTACGTTCAAGAGCAAGTTTCAGAGTCTCTTCTGACATCCATTTTAGTCTTTTCTTTCTTTCCTGTCTTTTTAATGACCATTTGCTTTCTTCATGTATGATGGCCTGATGTCATCCAACAACTCGTCTGGTCGTCAGTCATTAATGTTCACTGCATCAAATCTATTCTTGAGATGGTCTCTAAATTCAGGTGGAATATACTCAAGGTTGTATTTTGGTTCTCATGGACTTCTAATTTTCTTCAGCTTCAGCCTGAACTTGCATATGAGCAAGTGATGGGCTGCTCCACAGTCGGCCCTGACGTTGTTCTGACTGATGATGTTGAGCTGCTCCATCGTCTCTTTCCACAGATGTAGTCGACTTGATTCCTGTGTTTTCCATCCGGTGAGGTCCATGTGTATAGTCATCATTTATGTTGTTGAAAAACGGTATTTGCAATGAAGAAGTCATTGGTCTTGCAAAATTCTATCATGCTATCTCTGGAGTCATTTCTATCATATCAAGGTCATATTTTCCAACTACCAGTCCTTCTTCTTCATTTCCAACTTTCGCATTCCGGTCACCAGTAATTATCAATGCATCTTGATTGCATGTTTGATCAATTTTAGACTGCAGAATTGGTAAAAATCTTCAAT